ATTCTGCATTGCACTGTATAGAGGACTACAAATCAAGGAATACCACCAGCTATAGAGGAGTACAACAAATCCCAGCAATAATACATTATACAGTGGTGCAATGCCGAATACCATCAGCTATAGAGGACTACAACACCCAGCAATAGTACATTATACATTGCAATGCAGAATACCGCCAGCTATAATGTACTATTGCTGGGATTTATTGTATTCCTCTATAGCTGGTGGTATTCTGCATTCATTGCTGTATAATTTTACACTTTTCATTTCACTATATTGTACACCATACTTTTTTTTCTTTTTTACTTCTACTGCTCCAAGCTTGCTCCTGTGATGGACTGCAATCTCAATACAAACTAGAAGTCCCATCACTGGAGCCATTTTTTAAAATGTATTTTATTTTTTATCCGATTAACCGATTAATCGAACTTAATAATCGGCTAACTAATCGATTTTGAAAATAATCGTTAGCTGCAGCTCTACACTAGTGTTAGTTTTATGTAATCCACTGCAACCACAATCCAAAGAGATCCTTACATGTGGAGTGGGTGCGTCTGCTACCTGACTGTGATGTACAATTCCTCTCTCCTTGATGCATCTCCAGTCAGATTTGAACTGGGAAAGCAAGTTTGAGCCTGGCCTTGAGAAACTTAGCATTAAAAGTTTGGATACATTATGCCTTCTGTGTGTGAGAGACTGCAGGTAGCTTACAGTGGGCATGTTTGGGAAATCCTTTCATGCATCAAAATAAGTGCAAGGGGTTCCCATATTACCAACAAAGGGAAGTGGGGTGACCAGCTGCCCTAGTTGGTAGGCCGTGCTCCATGCATACATCTCATGGCATAATTTTCCATGTTGACTGGAGTGAAACTTTAACTATGAAATGACAATGATCATTCGTAAGTGTAGATGTACTTTTTTAGGGCCGGTTCACACCACAAAGGCTGCGTTCCAGAGCGCTCAGCAAGCACTATTTTTGCAGATCGCACTAGACCAGAACACAAACACTAATATGCCTGCGGTCCAGGTGCAGGCAATCACACTGCGGTGGGGGCGTGGCTGCAATGCCATTGACTTCAGTGCACCCCGCTCCCGCCCCTGAGCGCAGGGAAGACGACTGGCTTGCATTCCAGTTCGTTCCAGAGGCCGAACACACTGGAACGCGGACTTTGTGGTGTGAACCGGCCCTCAAAGCTTGCAGGCACTTCCAACATTTTGTAAACATTTCTGTGACTTAAATATTCTGTGACGCATGCAAACAGTGACAACATTGGTGTGGATTGTCTAATAAGTGATGGACAGTTCAGTGGCTACTTCTCATTCTACTGCAGAGATCGGCACAGCTTTGGGCAGCGTTTTTAGCCTACAATGGCTGATGAAAAAGTGACAGACCAAATTTAGCTTCATAGCAAATCGGAGTACAGATCCAGATATCTTGTCAGGGGCGTAACTAGAAATCACAGGGCACCATAGCAAAATTTTGTATGGGGCCCTGTGATTTCTAGTTATGCCCCTTGCAGAGCCCACTTGATATCCCAAACAGCCCACCTGAGAGTGACTCCGCAGAGCCCGCCATAGACTCTCTATGGTGGGCTCTGCAGGGTCTCAGGTGGGCTGCACACCTCTTACCTGTCAGCCCTGATCTGCTGTCCGCCTCCATGATCACTGGCATGCCCCGCCTCCTCTTCCGTCACCGGGCCCCGCCTCCTCTTTCGTCGCTGGGCCCCGCCTTCTCTTCCTTCGTCGGGCACAGCATTCCTCCTCCACAGCTGCTGGCTGTCACTGACTCAGCAGCGGCTGTGAGGAGGAACGTGCCGCTGCACAGATCACTGACAGGTTTTGGTAATCTAACAGCAACACATTCCTCCTCACACCCACCAGTGACAGCCAGCAGCCTGAGATGCCATAGGGACCCAGGCGGCCCACACGGCATCAGGGGGATGTCCTGGCCGGGCCCCCCTGGGCCCCATAGCGGCCGTCTAGTTCGCTATGGCGATTGTTATGCCACTGTATCTTGTACGTGTTACTGCAAACAGATTGTGTGACTTGGCCCCTTACTCCAAGAATTCTTTGTTATGAACTTTCTGTATCCCTAAATGCAACTAATTATGTGTGAATCAGAACTGGTGTGTTTTAGTCCTCATATACACAAATAGACAAGTAGACTGCACCAAAAAGAGGTCACATTGCATTTCTGATTCTATCTAAGCGCTAGAGAGTCCATGTGAATGAAGGAAAACCATAGTAATCATCCCTAGCAGTGTTTGTCCTAACCCGTGTCACTGTCATTTTACTGATCAGGCAGAGAAAAACATAAAGCAGCATTTCTCAACCTTTTTTTTTATGGCAACAACACCTTTTAAAAGTATGCAGAATCTCAATTAACTCCAGTCCATAATGTAAAAAATGATGTGTGGCGCCTCCAAAATCCATACTAGACACCTATCCCAGATATCAAATATTCAGATTAAAAGCTTCCCCTTTACATCAGAGTGTCCCCTTTTATATCAGAAGCCCCCCCCCCCTTCACATCAGAAGCCCCCCTTTTCACATCAAAAGTCCTCCATCACATCAGAAGATCCCTCTTCACATCATGAGCCCCCCTCTTCACATCATGAGCCCCCCTCTTCACATCAGAAGCCCCCCTTCAGGTCAGAAATTACTCCTTCACATCAGAAGCCCCCCTCTTCACATCAGAAGCCCCCCTTCAGGTCAGAAATTATTCCTTCACATCAGAAGCCCCCCTCTTCACATCAGAAGATCCCCCTTCACATCAGAAGTTTCCCTTCACATCAGAAGCCCCCCTTCAGGTCAGAAATTACTCATTCAAATCAGAAGCCCCCCTCTTCACATCAGAAGATCCCCCTTCAAGTCAGAAGCCCTCCTCTTCACATCAGATAAGAATCTCCACCATGCTTCACTGTTGCTGCAGACACTCATTATTGTACCGCTCTCCAGCCCTTCGGGGAACAAACTGCCTCCTGCTACAGCCAAATATTTTACATTTTGACTCATCAGTCCAAAACACCTGCTGCAAAGGGCGGTCACAACAAATATTGATTTGATTTGGATTTCTCTTCTGTTCATTTACTTTCCATTTTGCTAATTGATACAAAATAAACTAGTAACACTTTTATTTCTGAAAACATTCTTACTTTACAGCATTTTGCTTTTTCTCAGTACAGCTAAAGCTTTTTCTCAGTACTGTATATAATTTGTAAGTCAAATATGCATAGAGCAGACATTTCCTTGTTTTCTGCCTGCAAAAGATTCATTTATGTACTGCGGGGTTTTTTTTCGGTTCAAAACTATAATAAGTAAGTTGTGTTTTATTGTGTGATAACTGTATCTGCGGTCTCAAATAGTGACTTTACCATTTTTCAGATCGAAGGGAACACGACAGAGCCTTCTCTTTTCTTTGAAGAATTTATTCAGCTGCTAGCACAAACGGAAAATGCACTAGAGGTACATCCCTTGAATTTACTGCAAGAGCATTGTGTAGATGTGACTTCTGAATTATTGAACAGCATTGATCAGAGCAGAGTTATTATATGTTTTAATGCAATGCATTTATGTTTGTGTCTTGCTTTGGAAGTCACAAAGGATATCAAAGCAGTATTTTCTCTTTCGGTTATGTTTATTGTCTATGTTGTGTATGTATGTGATTAGATAGATAGATAGATAGATAGATAGATAGATAGATATTCTTAAAGAACTCTGGGCACACATTTTGTTAACCCTTGCAGTGGGTCTACCCCAGCACTGCAAGGGTTGAGTGCTCTAGATTCCCATTCATGAGGCTGGGCTAACAGCCAATCAAAAAAATGCACAATAGGCCTGGAAGAAGTCTAGTATCTGGGCTACATCATTGGGATGTGGAGTGGGGGGATTGTTGGGGAGAGGTTAGGGGGTGGTCCCAAAACCTCAAATAGAACAGATTGAAACAATTGAAAGTCGTCTCCAGTCTTCCTAGGGATTGTTGGATTTTACCTGAAGTTTCTAACTTTGCGACTATAGGGAGCAAGTCAGCCATGCTGAAATGGAAAGAAGAGACGGAGAGAGCTCTTAAAGAGGGGGACAGGGTATGTGAGGCACTAGCTGTCAAGATTGTGAACATTGTGTATGTGCCCCCTAGGTTTCACATACACATGGTGGTGAGGGGCGCCAAAGGTTTATAACTGATGGGGAGAAAACAACAAACTTTTTGTTTACTGTTCTGGTTTCTGGAGCCCGATCATTTTGTATAGAACCTCCATTCCTAGGTCCACAACTCATATGGTAGCCAGACCTCATTAGTCCCAGCTGTCCTCTGGCCTTTAGATATGCAAACTGACTGATGCACAGGCCTCTCTCTCTCTCTCTCTCTCTCTCTCTTGCTCTCTCTGCTGTGAGAGCCTGCTGCTGGGTGTATGCTCACAGAACGCTAAAAAGACACTGTTTGTTCTGGGGAACCCATTAGGGGGAACACTGTTAGTAAAGCGCTGACCTGAGTTAAGATAGTGGCTCAGGTGAGCAGAGGTTTTGTATGTTTTATGATTTGGACCTGCTGTACAAAGACCCCTCCATTGAAATGTATATTTGTTAGCTACCTTGCTAATAAAATGAAGGATAAACCTGCTTGGACTGTTTCTGGGTATCCATGTCCTGTGCATGGTTTACCAATACCAGTTGAGTATGTCCCCCTGATGTATAGTTCTCTGGCTTTAATGCCTCTATACTCTCTACCCAGGAACAAACATACTTGTTCTGAGCCCCATGAGGGTGGTATTAAAGTTCTGCTGAACTCTGGGTACCTTTTGACTGGTTGGCATCTCTACAACAGCTTGATAGATGATTATGACTTGTGTGCCTGACATATTATCAAGCTTCATAAACTTAGATACATTGTATACCTTATGCAATGCATAAAATATATCAGTATACAGTTGTGCAATATAACATAATAACAGAGACGTGACATTCGAGAGTCAAGGAGTGCATAGCTGTGATTTAAAGCTTCTGTCTAACATCACTAGTGTCCCAGAGCTGCTCTTACATATAGCACTAAAGACAGAAACAGATGTTTTGCTGCACTTTTGGGTTTGTCAAAATAATTTCCATTGCAATTCAGTAATTGGTAACAGTTGTTTAGTAAACAATTGGAGGGCTTAATTGGCAGCTCCAAAATATGTTGAGTTTTCTGTTACAAAGCTCCAATTGTGGCAAATGTAGAGTAATTGTTACAGGTCAATGGTTGAAGACAATAAAAACCTAGCTGTACACTTCATCTAGATATAGTCACACTGGTTCGGAATGAAAACTCCCGAATTTACAGCCCATGAGGATCTTGTGACGCAATACGGCCAGACAACCAGGTTTTTTAATAAAGCACACAAAGCATTAAAGGAATTCTGGTGTATAGTCAGTAAGCACATTTTGACCAGTTAAATCAATTTCTAACCTTATAGTAAGCATGTATATGCCTTTCCCATTTTACATTGTTCTTTTTTCATATTTTTGTTAATGTATTAAAAACTATACAGAGACTATACAGAGAAACACGTTTTTTTCAAAAAATTGACATATATAAGATTAAAATATATATATATATACAGGTGAAACTCGAATAATTAGAATATCGTGCAAAAGTAATTGCAGTAAGTGCTGCAAAAGGGGCCCAAACCAAGTACTGAGTACATATGCATGCTTGTACTTTTCAGAGGTCCGATATTGTTCTATGTACAATCCTTGTTTTATTGATTGCATGTAATAATCTACTTTTTTGAGGTTGTGGATTTGGGGTTCTTGGGGTTTTCATGAGCTGTAAGCCATAATCATCACAATTATGACAAATCACGGCTTGAATTATCTTGCTTTGCATGTAATGAGTCTCATATATTAGTTTCACCTTTTAAGTTGCATTAGTGAAATAAATGAACTTTGCACAATATTCTAATTATTCGAGTTTCACCTGTATATATAATTTATAGTATGCTGATCTCCTTTTCATGTTTATATATAAACAAAATACACTATAATACATTAGACATAAAAATACATTGAAGTCACAAAATCATTCTTAAACTTCAGTCTTTCAACACCCAAATCTTTACAAGCGACATTGAGCTGCAAGATGTGAACGTCTCCATTGAAATGCATTGGAAGAGCTACATTGAGCTTCATATTTGAGCAATTTGTGAGTGGAAATCACGCCACAAAATGCTCGGTGTGAATGGGGTCTTAAGGTGGCCATACACTGTACAACCATCGCAAGACCTTAGTCTTGCGATGGTTGTAAAGTGATTAAAAAAACGTACGATCTGCCTATCTTGGACAGGCAGCTCGCACTCTCGATCATCGCAAGCCCGCCCCCCTGAGGGGCGGGCTTCCGATGACCGCAATGCTGAACGGGCAGTGTGCGTGTGCGCACACCGGCCCGTTCGGGATTTGTCTCCCGAGCACTGTTCAAACCAGCCGTTTTCTAACATGCTCCTTAGACAAAAGACGTGCGACCGTACATTAGAAACGGTCGCACGTCTTCGTTCACACTGTTCGATTCTCGTACGATCGTGGGATTTCCCGCGATTCTCGTACGAGAATGGAGCAGTGTATGGGCACCTTTAGATTAGGCATCAGCCTAATCCGGTGGAAGCACAGAGGCAATACTAATTTAAATTTAGCCGAAATTTACCTGCAATATCAATTAGCTGCGAGTGTCTCCTCATATCTGAAGGTGCCCTTAGACAGTGTGCATGTTGTTAGCTCTGGATAAATCAGGTATTCATGCCTGAACATCGATTGGTGTCCTAAAGCAAACCTTGCACACATTTTAACATTAAAACTAAAATCCCTGCCAGGTAGCACAAGATCTTTATTGTTACCTTGTCTGTGCACCTCTCTGATTTAACTTCTCCAGTGACTCTTATTGGACAGGGTAAAGTCAGGTGGGTGGAAATTCACCTAGAAATCAGAAGTCTTATTAATCAAGTGAAACTGAATCAGAGGCACACAAAAGTGTTTTTAGCCTCAGAAAGGTCACAGAAAGAATCTTTTGTGAGTGTTCTTAGGCAAGGCTTTCACTTTTTTTTCTTGCTTTACAGTGGTGACTGTAGGCTCAAAGTCTGTAAACTTTAATAAAAAGATTGTACAACTAGTAACACCCATAAGGCACAAACGATAGTGCACAACAATGTAATATAGTATAAAATAACATTAAAAAAGGTACAATAAGGGTCACAAGACATATATTCAAAGTGCTGTCAAGTAGGAGTCGGAGCAAAGTCCGTTATATTTGTCATTTTCTGCATGTTTGTCTGACTATCAATAATGTGTGCTAACATCAACATCGATTTCGGATTTCTTTTGAAGGGCACAAGTGAAACTTCTCTTCAGAATACTCAGCCCTCCCCCAGACCAGGAAGTTCAGTCAATGAACTATGGCAGGACCTCCTTTCCCTGCCTGATATAAATGTAAGTGCATTAAGATATTTTATTTTGGTCCTGGAGATGTTGCAGTTAGTTTATTGACACCTTCTAACATAATGATCTGGAACATGATGCCTACATTGAAGAGGAACTGAACCCTTATCTTTAAAATTACAGCAAAAGCACCTTTTAGAAATGCTTAATAATGAAAATCTACAAACACATACTTCTAGATAATTGCCGGCTTATTATTCTTGGAATACCTTATTTTTCCTTTCCTCCCCATTCTCCTCAAAGTGGCCATTTTTACTAAGGGACCAGTCACAGCATATCCAGTGCGTTCCGGGTGCAGTTCGAGTCCAGATTGCACTGGATTGCATAGATCAAGCAAGGCTCTGGGGCAGGAAGGGCCATTCATGTCAATGGCACCACAGACACGCCCCCTGCCCACAGTGTGATTGCCCATACCGGAAAGAGAGGTACAGGAATGCCCTCCGTTCTGCATTAGTGCGATCGGAAAAAATGCTCCATGCACTATTGTTTCTGATCGCACTGCATTGGAACGGAGGGCATTCCTGTACCTCGCGTTCCGGTGCGAGTGATCGCAATGCGGGCGGGGGGACATGCCTGCATTGCTATTGACATGAATGGCACTGACTCCCACCCCAGGACACTGCCCGGGTTGATCTATACGACCCAGTGCGTTCCGGGCTGGAACCGCACCAGAACGCACTGGATATGTGTGACTGGGCCCTAAGGGCAGATTGATATATATCCCTTTACTTCCTGGAATTCTGGCACATGTGACTAGGACGTGTGACCATGCACATCATCTCAGGGGAGGAAATGCCTTTATCTGAGATCCCGCAAGGTTTTGCAGTTTACAGATGAGATTTCCCAGCAAAGCACTGTGATGTAACCTTCCCAGCATGCATCTCTTACGCATGGGCTACATCACTAATGCCCAAGAGTACCAGGAAGTGGAAAAACAGTAATTATAAGTAAAAGACAAATGTGTTTATTTAACTAATCAATGTGAGATAATTTTCATATCATCCTGCAGAGCTGCATTCTGAAGTGATTTTTAGTGAAAGGGGTAAAGCTCCGAGATGACTGATAAGGAGAAAAAAAGGTGCAGCCAATAACCGCACAGAGAAGAGCCACCCCTATGACTTTGACACCTATAGGCAGAGACCTGGTGTACATAATACTGAATCTAGCCCTGCTTATTATTAAAGGCAGTCGGGGACTCTTGTGACCATTTTTGTCAGCTTAGTTCCTGGTTTAGCTCCCTCACATTGCTGCACTACATTTAGCATTAAATAATTATAATAATAAATAATTAGAAAACATCATGTGACATTGACCTTTCTGCAGAGTACTGCAACACCTCTTGTGGCTGCTAATGGGTTGAAAGTTTTTGTAGGTGGCAGATTCCTGTATAATAAAACTAGTTAGGATTCTGTCGCCCAGCCTAATAGTATGTACAACATGGCATATACAGTGCTGGGGTCTGGAGTATAATGTACAACACAGTGTATACAGTCCCGGGATCAGGAATATAATGTACTACATAGTGTATACAGTGCAGGGATCAAGAATATAATGCACAACACAGCGGTACATTGCAGGGGTTAGAAATATAATGTACAACATAGTGTATACAGTGCAGGGGTCAGAAATATAATGTATAACATAGTGTATACAGTGCAGGGGTCAGAAGTATAATGTACAACACAGTGTATAAAGTGCAGGGGTCGTGTATAATGTACAACACAGTGTATACGGTGCAGGGGTCGCTTATAATGTACAACACAGTGTATACAGTGCAGGGGTCTGGAGTATATGACCTACAACATAGCGTCACAGTGCAGGGGTCCTGCCAAACACCAACACAGACTAAGGCTGGGTTCACACCTGGGCGTTTTTCAGCGCTGATCGAAGCGCTAACAAATGCTCAAGAAGTGAAATCCAATGAATCCCTATGGGCATGGCGATTTGCTGCGCTGAAAAACACCCTACGCGCAAAAAAGTACTTGAGCTTCTTTTTCGTGCGTTTCACTGAACTAAAAAACGTGCTAAAAAAACGAGCTGAAAACGCGCCTATAGTAACGCCCATGTGTGTACCCAACCTTAGGCCTGGTTCACACCTGGGCGTTTTACAGCGCTGATTGACGCGCTGTAAAACGCTCAGCTTGTGAAAACCAATAATTGCCAATGGGCATGGTTCCCACCTGGGAAGTGAAGCCTAAGTGATGTACTAAACTGCTGCAGGAAGGATTTGCATATGAATGAATTGCTGCTGTTTTTGCATATGCATAGCAACATTGTAACATGGGCAGGGCTGCTGGGTAGAAGTAGCGACAGACAGACCTAGCAAGCTTAACGCTGTGATCCTGGGACACATATCCTGGACAGTTTTTCAGTGTGGTTTTACTATCACATTAAACAGTAGCTGTGCAGATAGGCTGTTGTAAGCTCTTTGTTTCATCCGTTGTCATGTTATAGCTCCCTTGCAGTCAATCGACAGCATTTGGCTTCCTCTTTTCCCTGTAGGCTGGAATTATTTTATTTTTTTCTATTGGCTGACCTTTAGACAACATTTGGACGACCTTTAGACAACACAAACAGACAGGGTCAGACAGACTCTAAAAATCAACTTTACCTTCAAATGTTTGATTTCCCGTCTGAGTTTTGACAGCTGCTATTTATAACATAAGAGAAGGAGCAATAAAGTGTTTACAACAGCTTCTATGTACTGGTACTGTCTGTTGGATGGGATGGCAAGAGTAATGTCATGGTTTACTTTAACGTGTATTTCCACCTTTGTAGTCAGATTTGAGTAACCCCTCTATATGTTTGTGTGTTCCCACTCGCACAGCATACCGCAAATATTTTAGTTGTTTATTTGGATGACAATTATGCATAGGCCTCTTTAGGCAGCTTCTACAGATGGCAATATGCAGATGAAGGGACAGACTGAGGGACTTTTTTTTTGTAAAATGTATGCAACGTCTTGAGCTATTTAACCCATTGTTAGGACAGACAGTTAGTGGAAATCTGCCAGCACTGTACAGACAGGGTTAATTAAGCTGCAGTTTCATTATTTAAGTTAGGCTATATGAATAAGTACATGCAACACACACAAAGAACGTGTTATCCCAATTTGGCTGCAAAAGTGGAAATACACTTTAAGGGCTCATCTGTCATTCAGACAGACGTGCACGTCCATACAGCGTGCATGTGCGTAAAATTCCCCAATCCTGGAAGGGAAAGGTGCTGCGTGTAATAGAACACACAGCAGCCTGTTTTTCCGTATTATTATTATTATTATACAGGATTTATATAGCGACAACAGTTTGCACAGCGCTTTACAATATAAGGAAGACATTACAATCACAATACAAGTCAAGACAAGATGGTAAGGCGGCCTCTGCCCATGAGAGCTTACAATCTATGGGAGGGCACGGCTGCATGCAATTATACTCTGTCACACGCCCACCTGAACCTGCACATCCATGTGGGTCCGGGTGCCCACACTTGGACGCACACTGTTTGTGTGGGATCAGGTAATTTAAGGCCTCATTCACACACAATGCAAGAGCAAAATTGTATATTGCGTATATACGTGCGCTTTTTGCAATCCCAGAATGCATCATTCGTAATAGAAATGTTAATGAACTGTACGTGCGTATATGCGCAGAAATACGCTGCCCGGGCGAATCTCGGTTCCATTCTGGTTTTGCGCATCTGCGGCTATGTGTATGGAGCCATTTATTTGCATATGGTACAATACGCACATGCAGTGTGACTGAGGCCTTACAGGCGTACACACCTGTCTGAATGAGCCCTGAGGGTTTTAATATAATTGGAAAAAAACAGTCAATCTGGGCTAAATGTTCTGCTTCAGGGCAAGTAAAAACATTGGCTCTGTAGGTCTGAATCTGCTTTCATAATCCATTTCAGACTTGGAATTATAGGCCACTATGAATAGATCTGCAATATAACAACAATACAATGAATCTATGGCTCTTGTGTTGTTTTTTTCTTTCCAGATTACACTGGAGGACATCCAGTCAATTTCAAATAGCAACAATCCAGTCAGCTCTACTGCACCTTACAATGTGGATTTTACTGAGGCAATAAGTCAAGACGTAAGTCTGCAGGAAGCCATGTACACATCAAGTAACAATCTCAGGTCCATTGAGGATTTGTCCCAGACACCAGAAAGCTTCATGCAGTTAAACTCAAGTACAGTTCCTGAAGGACCCTTGAGTATGACAGATTTAACATCTTTATTTCCCAGTACTGACAACTGTTCTAGAAACTCAACAAATCAAGATCTTCTTTCTGGTCTCGATGAGAATGTATTTGATGAAATTAATTTAATGTCCTTAGCCCTGGAAGAAGGGTTTGATCCTCTGGAGGTCTCTCAGTTGTTTGAAGAACCAGATTCAGATTCTGGACTTTCTCTCAATTCAAGCCATAGCCCTGCATCTGCAAGCATATCCGATTCTTCATCAGTAACCTTTGGGGAGGATGAAGGAGCTGCTGGCTACAGTAGTGACTCCGAATCTGTCGCTTATGATGGCCTAGAAGGGGCAGTTGGAGGAAGCTGGGCAGATATCAACAAATTTTGCCAAATGGATTATCAAGATGAGGCAAGTTACTACGATGAAGTGACTTTAAATAATGTCCACCATAACCATACCTACAATCAGCTGCCTGACCAGTTACAGTCCAGTCCTGAACATCATTACAGCTGGGCGGGAAAATCTGGCAAATTAAGAAGCCCCTGTGTGAGTGGAATGGAGAAAAGCCTCAGCCGTGATGAACGTCGGGCTAAATCCCTAAAAATTCCCTTCACTGTAGATGAAATTGTCAGCATGCCTGTAGAGGTGTTTAACAATATGTTATCCAAGCATTACTTGACCGAGACCCAGATATCTGTTATAAGAGACATTCGGCGTAGGGGGAAAAACAAGGTCGCTGCTCAGAACTGTCGCAAACGTAAGCTGGATGTCATTTTGAACTTGGAGGATGATGTTAATCAGTTGAAGACACGGAAAGAGAAACTACTGAAAGAGCGAGCTCAATGCAGCAAGTCCGTGAGCCACTTGAAACAGAAACTGAATGACCTCTATCGCAGTGTGTTCAGCCGACTACGAGATGATCAGGGCAGACCAGTCAATCCAAGCCAGTATGCACTGCATTGTAATAGCGACGGCAGTATCATTGTTGTTCCAAGGAGACTGTTCAAATCGGAGCAAAAAAAAGATTCACAGAAAGAGAAGAAACAGAAATGAACCCTGAACTCGTTAAGCAGTAGTTACTATAAGGAGAGACATACTATCCCTAAAAGTAGTGGCAGCAGTAATATAATACTGTAACATGGCAGAGGTTGAGCACTGGACTAAGTGTGATAATAAAAAGTAGCTGTTAACATATTTTTTTTTTTACAAGACAGCTGCTCCTGTAAAATATACGAGGACGCTGCTTTTATCTGGCACTAAACTTGTACAGACCATACGATATACTACAAATCGATATCATGGCTGTACAACATTATCCTGCTTCATATGTGGACATTTGGTGTACGATATGACCTAGGTTGTACAAGAAGAGGCATTCTTATATCAATATAATGTATTTTGTTTTGTTTTTTAATAATTAGATTTTATGTGTAAACAAATACTGAGATGAGAAATCAAAGAAAGACCTTGACACCCCCCAAAAAAAGACAAAATTGTCAAAATACAAAGTGACCTTAGATTTAGTCTGTCGCACTGGAGCACATTGTTAAATGTAATATTCTTGCTTTTTTTATTTCATTTAAAATAAGTGGTGTTTGTTTGTTTTTTCTTTTAATTTATACATGAGGTCTATAAATTATAATTTCTACTTTTTTTTTAATTTGGTTCTTGTTCTACTTGTTTTTTCTACAAAAAAAAGTCCTGGTGGCTGACCCTGGTATATTGTCATAAACAGTATTTAAGTATTATTATTAGTCATTCTATAGCAAGCTGGAGTTGCTTATTTTGTATTTTATATGTCATTTCTCCAGTATAAATGATGTTGGCTGACAGATTATTTTTTTTTGTTTTACAATGAAAATATTTGCTAAAGAGATTTTAATTTACGATAAACTTATTTTGCATTTATACTACAGGGAAATAATACGCTTTTTCTAGAAATCCTGTTTCATGACTTTCAGCATGTATGGCCGAGAATGTTTTGCGGTATAAACTGTTTGCAGCACCAAGTGTTTTGTTTCCAGCTCTACTGTGTGGGCTTTTTATTTCATGAGAGGCCTATGTCACAGCAGCTGTTTTAAGAGGTTCTCCGGTTTAATTTAAAAGGGCCCATGATTGAGACCACTTTATGTCCCCAACTCCAACTTACTACATTTCACATGATGTCATAACTGTACCCTGGTATTATTAATCTTCCATCCTCCCATAGTAAATTTTAGGCATTTCATTACATCGATAGCAGTGGATTTAAAATTTCTAGTTGGACATATGCAACAGTGGGATGTGATCTGCCCTCAACGGTGGAATGTGATCTGCCCTCAACGGTGGAATGTGATCTGCCCTCAACGGTGGAATGTGATCTGCCCTCAACGGTGGAATGTGATCTGCCTTTAACGGTGGAATGAGAACTGCCCTCAAGAGTGGGATGTGATCTGCCCTCAACGGTGGCATGTGATCTGCCCTCAACGGTGGCATGTGATCTGCCCTCAACGGTGGCATGTGATCTGCCCTCAACGGTGGCATGTGATCTGCCCTCAACGGTGGCATGAGAACTGCCCTCAAGGGTGGAATGACAACTGCCCTCGAGTGGGATGTGATCTGCCCTCAAGAGTGGGATGTGATCTGCCCTCGAGAGTGGGATGTGATCTGCCCTCGAGAGTGGGATGTGATCTGCCCTCGAGAGTGGGATGTGATCTGCCCTCGAGAGTGGGATGTGATCTGCCCTCGAGAGTGGGATGTGATCTGCCCTCAAGAGTGGGATGTGATCTGCCCTCAACAGTGGGGTGACAACTGTCCTCAACAATGGCATGTGAACTGCCCTCTAGCATATTTTTTCACCATATAGCAAGCTGGACCCTTTCAACACAGAAGGGTCTAAATCAATGGCTTATATTTTAATTTAGTTGAAATTAAAATATGGAAGGCAACGTTTAAATTCTACCTGTTGTCCACAGAGGTCAGACAAACATTTGGAGCCTCACCAGTACTGCACTGACGTCACCAGTTCCTTGAGAACGTTGGTGGCTACAATGTATAGCCTACAGGTGAGTTAATAATAATAAAGCAGACATTGAATGACGCATTTCTTTCTCCTCTGAGTATGAAGCTTTAGAAATACACTACAGTTGAAAGCTGCATTAGTTAGCTACACTCTATCTTCAAAGACCACCTAAAATCCAACATATTTCTTCATCAGGTCTGAGGGTTGTATACAAGTCATGTGACGAGTTAGTAAAGACCAATACAACTTTTGAAAATACTCAGCAAATTGGAATTTGTAGAATTGGGTTCACAAACAGTTCTGGTAGCGGTCTAGTTGCACATTGTGCCTACATGTAACAAGAGAGTACTGTTGTACATGGATGGACAGCAGCACAGCATGTTCTCATAATTACATTTGAGCATGTCAAATGGCAACTGTGGGATGTGCTTATACTCTGTACATAAACATATACACCACCGTATCAATCCAAAGTCTGTGTAGCTGTGAAATGCTCTCCATTAGGAATGGCCTGTACTGTAGAGACCGGTACGTTTTTTTTTTTGTAGAGGTTCAAGGTTTGTATTCCTGGATGCAGTAGTTGCTATGCAGCTCTGGCAACTGTGTACCATGGTCGCCGTGATAACATGTTTCAGTGCATTTTTAAATAAACCGAAATAAGACAACCTATGTTGAGTGCATTGTGCCTTTCAAGAAGTGTAATTATATACTGAAACATGCGGACTCATGGAGATCAGTGCAATGCAGAGCACATTACAACAGCCTCCGTGGTGATATTTTGTCATATTTGTTTATATGGATCTTTATAGCCCATCTGTAGCCAATCTTATTTTATGTTTTAGACAGGAGAGGGTAGGGATAGAACCTTGGCCAGGTTCTTCAAGAAAAATACAGCAAGTCCAGTTGCCTTGACTTATTTTTTTACAGATGTACCATGAGCTGGAGGAATGAGAACCTTCACAGACCAGTAGTGGACAGTTCTCAATGCCAGTGTTACTCTCTATAGCATTGTGTGTGCGTTCAGGGGACCAAGGTGAGGCTTCCTCAGGGGACGGGTCTGTGACGCCCTGCAGTCACATGATGTCCTCTTCTGGATTAAATGATGCCTGGAACTGAGGACATCTAGTGGAGAAAAAGAACTACTGCAAGGAACGGCACAGAAGAGGAGGTGAGTATTGCAGTCACAACCATTTGTGTTTTTAGACAGCTGCTGGGGGACAATTTGTTTTTTTATTACATTTTGCTAGGAATCGTGTTCTGACAGATTTTCTGTTCTTAAGTCTATTCTGACACTCAAAAAAAAAAAGTTTTGACTGCATTTGGGCTATAAATCTGACCACACATAGGATGAAAAGTTAATCAGGTAATCAAAATTTACCAAATAGCTGGCAAATTTGGATAAGATTTGAAGAAATCCCTTTCAACATATCCAGTCAGGTAGAGAAGGTGGCACAATTGTGGTTACATGCTGCTTTGCAATGAGACGGGGTAGCATTAAACCAGCAATGCAGACATTTTCCAAGCCATTGAATTGGGCTGTTTATGACCACCCGGCACTACACAGCTATGTACATTTTATTGATCTAGTCAATGTGACTTTGTATGTTTAAGCCTAGCAGTGTCTGTCTGAGCATTCACTCAGCATCTATGTTTCAGTAATTTGATTTGCTGTTAACTTATCTTGCATATCAATGTATTTATGCCACATGGTACGGCTGAGTGTTGATGGTACATTCTCTTAAATCTGACTTTACCACACTGTGTTCTTATATGAAAACACATAGCAGTAAGTGATATCTATAAAATGTGGGTCATCCTCAAAGGGAATCATTTTCCTTGATGCTTTCATTTTTCCCTGTTTGGAAACCCACTGCAGTGTTTCCCACAATATCTCTATCCGCTGACCTTGGGTTTCATGTCCATTCAAACCATGAGAGCAAAGTAAACCCATGCTTAATGCAACCGAATAAAGCAGCATAGAGAAGCAATGGGCTCTAATTAGGCTTGGACAACAGTAAACGTATTCCTGTTTTGCACAATATAATACATCACATCTTCTACTTCCTGTATACAGTACATTTGTGATTTATCATATATCCAGTTTAAGAAAATACTGCTATCCTTTTGCCCACCTAGCAAATGCAATACGCGGGTTGTATGACATTTAGAAATATACATGGACATCATTGTGAATACACAAAACAGTAACTATATACATGTTCTGTAGAGTCTACAAATGTATACATATATATGTAATCCTTTGCTGAGCTAGCCTTGAAGTCATGTTTCCATGAGGATTTGTAACCGCATGATATTATGTGGAGTGGAGGATATTCCTTTTACGTGAAGCTTATCATATAATATGCTGAGTATTCAATGTCCCAAGTCAGACATATCTGCTAAGCCACCATGATAATTACTTATATCCCTACCTAGAATAAGAACACTGTAGGGTTAGCCTTTAGAGTACGCTGTACCCAAAACAGACAACTTTATCACCTATACATGGCATAAATAAATAAGTGTATTGTTTTTAAAAGCATAGTACTAAGAATGTTGACATGGAAGCTGTTAATTACCAATGATTAAATTCCACATTTTAATGTGTATAGTTTTGTTTTAGATAGTGCCTCTGAGATTTCCCTTTCAACTATTAACTCCCAAATGGTGCATCTGTTGCCCAGGCATCAAGAAAACAACAAAAAAGTACAGTGGTACCTTGGTTCATGAACTTAATTCGTTCCATGATTCTGGTCGCGAACCGAATCACATTTCCTGATAAGGTTCAATGTAAATAAGGTTAATGCATTCTGACCCCTATGAACGTGGTCGCGAACAGAAGAAAATGTTCCATAAGGTTAATGCGTTCTGACCCCTACGACCCCCTGGTCGCGAACAGAATCAAATTTTCCCATAAGGTTCAATGTAAATGAGGTTAATCCGTTCTGAACCATATGTACATTCATTACCACTCTGCACTTTCTTTTTACCATCATGCTTGCTCTGCTTTTTCTTTGGAGCCATGCTGGATTGAATACTACTGTACAGTACTGTATGTGCTAAAAAGCACACAAAAAAGCTTCACAGCAAGTCGGCGACTGCAATCTCGACTAGAGGAAGCCACGACCATGTGTCAG